GCAAGTACAGCCCACCTTGATAGCAAACTCCTCACCAGAAATCTGGACTTTCCCGAGCTCTACCCAGGTTTCATTCTGGTGGATTTTGGCTGCTTGGGATTCCTTTTACTTGCAGTCTACCTCTTTCTGTTTGTCTGTCTGTGGTTGACAGCTCTCCAGAGCCTGACACTACTTTCACATCTTGAAACAAGTCTCAGAGGACCTCACCATTTGTCTCCCTACTGGGTAAACAGAGACAGACCAGCACGCCCGTATCCTGAGTCTCTTCCCAGAAACTTGATCAAAACAGAGAAGAGTCATCTAAAGGCCATTTCCCCAATTTGCCTAATCTTCCAGATCTAGCAGTCTTTGAAGATGAACTTGCTCAGAGATTTGGCGGCTGGGATTGGGAGAAAGACGGGATGGGACAGAGGCAAGGTCAAATGGTCTCTATGGGAAGGGGATCTGAGCAACCGAAGATAGAAGAGTGAAAGCAGTGGGGTGAGGGGTGGTGGGGAAAAAGAAGAAATGAAGGATGCTTAAAGGGAAACTGGCACGACATCTGGGAGCACATCTGAGCACTTGTCCTGCAGGAGGACTGTGAAATGAGACTGCCTGCGTGAATAGTGTGGCTTCTTTACTTGTATCTGTTAGACTTCTGGCAAGTTACTTAGTTTCAAGTCTCTGTTTCCTCATCCATAAAGTGGGGATGATAATGTACCTACTTCGTAGAGGTGTTGGAAGAATTAAATGAAATAACAGAAGTAAAGCACTTAGAACAATGCCTGCCACAGAGAAGGATCCAACAAGTGTTACTTCTCTCATTATTATCATTATTCTTATATATTGAGATAAATATATCACTTCTATCCTACCTAATTTCTTTTTGTTTTTTTAAATAAAAATTGTATATATTGCAAGTGTACAACATGATGACTTGATATACATAGTGAATTGAAATTGTGGTATAATTATACAATGGAATATTATTTATCCTTAAAAAAAAAAAAAAAGACATCCTGCCATTTGCAAAAACATGGATGAACTTGGAGGACATTCTGCTAAGTGAGACAAGCCAGACACAGAGAGAAAAAAACTGCACAATTGCACTTACATGTGGAATCTAAAAAAGTCATATCTTACCTAATTTTTAAAATTATATGAAGAGGCTTAAATACTATTGATTGACTAATAGAACATTCCTGCCTCTTGCTATTGGATTTATAAACTAAAAATACTATGCACATCATATTGGTCAAAATAAATTTGCTATGGCAACACCACACCAGTCCCTTATAGTTTACTTGCTTCCTTTTGCCATTTGTAAATTTCTGGCTTCAATGTCTGCCTGTTACTTTCCACTTCTCTGGTACACATGAAATGTGGAATATTAGGAGACAATTGTGCCATTTTTAAGTGTAATACGTAAATGTCATCAAAAATTATGGGAAATAAAAACAGCATGGGATATTTAATAACTTTTTGTAAGAGTCATTAAACTATAAAAATACTATGTCTGTACTAAACGGTGTCAGATTTGGCAGGAATTATTAAATTTTACAGATTAACTCCAAATTTCTTTTGTTTTTCTATTATAGTATCTTTCAAGTGGCAGGCCCATTATTTTCCAAATGTAACTTAGTTATTAACTTAAAGGCCAACCTGAATTTCTGTTATTCTTCCTATTATTCATCCATTCTCCCTGAGTTGTTAATGGGCAATGAAATGCCTAAAATATGTAGAGAGAGAGAGAAGTAGAAGAAAAGAGCCCCAGAAGTGAATGAGCAAATAGATCTGGAATAATGGGAGCTGGCTTTAGTGTTCTATATTCTTTTCTATGGGTAGTAAGTGGACTTTATATACGTAAAACCTGGAGAGGCACTAGAAATAAAAATCTATAATTGAAGTCTATATTTATTTGATAGCTACTTCAGTTTTTTTCCTATAAGAAGAGAACTTGTTTTCCCAAGACCTAAAGCTGAGTTAAATCAGAGGTAGAGATTCTGGACTGTGGATAAAGCGAAGAGTCAGGAGTAGTGCTCTCTTGCAGGTGGGCAGCCGACAAAGCTCCTTCAACAGAACAGCCATCAGGCTTCCCGTCACTTGAGGACTCGGAACTAGTTGAGAGGAGCATCAACCAGGGAAAAGCAATTCCTTTCTAACCAAACAGAACTGCACTTGGATGAAATGATGTGGAGAACGGATGGCAGGAGACCTTTTCCATTTGTGACTTGGTAGAGAATAGGACTTCTGTTTCTATCTGTCTGACCTCTGAGACATCTTTGCAGTAACTGAAACACTGTGGTGGATAGTGTCGACTCTAAGAGTCTTTGAAAAACACTTTTCCTCCAGTGAAACATATGAGTAGAATTCATTTTCTATCTTCAGAATCCAGGTTCTATGAATTTTATATTTAGATGTGTTCAGCCAACATAAGGACCTCACAGCCCAGAGCAGAATGTGTTTCGAAGCCCATGTTGGAAGAGTATGGGTCCATTGTGGGTAATACATGCGTTTCTAGCACAGGGTGAACCCAGGGTTAGGGTTGAAGATATGAGTGCACCCCAGCTTGCTCAGGTATGCTGTGATGGGGTGAGAAGGAGCTCTGTTATGGGCTGAATTGTAGCCCCCAAAATTCATATGCTAAGTCCCAAGTTCCAGGACCTCAGAATGTAACTCTATTTGGAGATGGGGTCTTTAAAGAAACAATTAAGTTAAAATGGTCATTTGAGTGGGCCCTAATCCAATGTGACTGGTGTCCTTAAAAGAAGAGGAAATCTGGACACAGACATGCATAGAGGGAAGATGAAGTGAAGACACAGGGAGAAGGTGGCCATCTACAAGCCAAGGAGATCTTGGACTTCTAGCCTTCAGAACTATAAGAAAATAAATGTCTGTTATTTAAGCTACCCAGTATGTGGACATCGTTATGGAAGCCCTAGAGCCTAATACAGCTTTGTTTGTAGCAGGAGCCGTTAACACTCATTAGACAACCCATGTCTACACTTAGTGAAGGCTGTCCCAGCACTAAGACCAGGTGTTCCTTCCACCACTTGGGAGAATATCTGCCTAAGGAGACAGGTGGTGACCACCAGTTAGACCAAGGGCCCAGAGAGCTGGGGAAGGCAGAAAGCAGAAAACAGTGTGTGAAAAGAAGGACTAATTTTTTAATAGAAAATCCTCTTTTGCTTTCTTATTACAAAAGTTTTACATGTTCATTGTAGAAGCAATAGGAAATACAGATGAACGAAACAAAGAAACAAAATATAACTATGATCTCACCACTTAGAGGTAACTGTTCATGCATTGTTGTAAATCTTTCCAGAACTTTTCCTATAAATATATAAATTTACATACACACTACACACACACATACATAAGGCAAAAATGGAATAATTTACTTTGTGTGATCATCTTTCCATGTCAATAATTTTTAATTTATGTCATCATTTCTAATGCCTATTATTACTTCGTTATATGGATTATATCCTTGAAATGGAATTGGGGGTGGGATGTATCTGAGCTTAGGCATATATAAAGGATTTTGATATATGTTGCCAAATTGCCTTCCAGAAATTATGCATCCATTTATATTCAGAAAGTCTATTTTGAGTACAATGTAAAGCCCTGTAACTGGTAACTCTTGACTCAGCTGTTCACGAGCTTCCAGCCAAATTCTTCTGGAGGAGAGTATGGAAACCAGAGGACATTGAAAACCTGTGCCCCCAGTGACTTGGGACACCAAGGCTTGACGAGGAGTGTCCAGTGGGGTGGAGGGCGCTTCCTACCTGAGCTCAGTGACAGGCAAAGGGAGGCTAGATGGAGGAGTGTACAGTGGGGTGGAGGGCGCTTCCTACCTGAGCTCAGTGACAGGCGGAGGGAGGCTTGATGGGGGAGTGTCCAGTGGGGTGGAGGGCGCCTCCTACCTGGGCTCAGTGACAGGTGGAGGGAGGCTGGCAGGATGAGCATGTCCTGCAGCCAAGAGGGGAGCTGCAGCCTCCGCCAGGAGGGGCCACATTGGGTCAGTAGTTGACATCTGCCTGGAGAGCACGGCGTCCATGGGATTGTGGAGAATGAAGAAGTGGGAAGAGGGGACTCATGGTGCTCACTTGACAGTGGGAGAGAGAGCTGAGGATCTCTGGATGGGCTGGGAGGGACCCCGGGGCTTTCACTGCAGCGAGCCTGAGATCACTGTGATCATGACCCCTCCTTGTTAATTTTATCCCTCAGGCTCTCAGGGCCTGAGAAAATACAGGTTATGCTAGGGAAAGAGGACAGAAGGACTGATAGCCTTTGCAGTTTTTGCGCATTAATGGAAGATACTATTTGATTTTGGTTCTGTGCCTGGTATAAGAGATCCCAGGGGCCATACTTAAAAGGAAAGCCAAGTTAATCTTAAATGAAAAAGAAAATGTTTTATTTTATAAGCATGAAAATTATGTGGCACTCAATAAAATGTGTTGGCAAGTAAACTTCTGCCACAAAGTATGATAAATAAAATAGATTAATTCCTCTTGGGAGAAGAACTTGAATTCCACCTATCATTAGGTAGGAACTTTCAACAGGACTCTTTCTAAGGAAGACAAGCAGTGGTCTCTGACTTAGTGGTGGACAGAGCACAGTGGAACAGGGAACAGCACCTTCCCCTCTTCTGGACTGTCATCCAGAAGGCGCTGCTCCCCTCCCACTGTGTTTCCAGACATTCACAGAGCACCCGGTCGTCTTGGGCCTTGATCTTGATATGGACTTTATGTGAGAAATAATAATGTGTTATAGATGCAAGTGAAGAATTAGCAACATTGTATTTTACTTTGAAATGTAGATTTAGCTTCCAAAGCTGCTTCTAAAAGTAAACTTACATTCTGTGCATTTGCCCAAAGCAATGAATAAATTTCCAGTAAAACAAGCAAACAGTCCTTTCCCTGGGGGTTTCCTTCTCTCTTCAGGAGGTACCGTGAACTTCATAATCTCGCCCACCACAGCCTATCAGGATAAAATGCTTATGAAAGCACAGGGCTTACCGTCCATCACAGGTTTTGGCTGAGAACTTTTGAGGCGCAGTGAGGGCCGGAAGCGGGTTCGGTCGTTGAAGCTCCAGCTCTTCTGCACTTTGGTGGGGCTGCCTTCGGCTGTGGCGTCCGTGCTTGGGGACCTCCTATCTCCCACTGAGGCTTGTCTGCTCTTAATGCTCTGGCCCCTCGGGCTGGCCATGCGCACTCGCTCCTTAAAACTTAGCTTCTGACTGTGGACAACAGAGGCATGATTATTCCGTTTCAAGCAATTACTTCCACTCCACTTGTGTAAATACTTTGATGAAACTGTATGGTCATATATTTCAATAGAATGTTTTCAGCAATCAGGTGCACAGCAACATATTTCCCCTTATTGAAAATTGGAGCTTTATTTAATCTCTCTGTTTGCATTTCTTTGAGGTCGATCTCCTTCTCCAGGTAGTCACACCCTTTCTGGGTTCATCAGAGAAAGGACTCAGCTCAAGTACAGTATTTTGTACACAGTTACACCAGAAATAACCAAGAACTGGTTTGGTGTTTGCTTTAGAAACAGATTTTACCTTTAACCTCAACTTTTGAGACTTAAAAAAAGTTATTTTTTATTTGAGAGCATATCTCTTTGTAATTTCTAAATATTTCTACTGGACCACAGGGATGACAGTTCCACACACATATAGATCTGCATTCTGCATGCATTTATAACTTCCAGGCAAGATTATGATATCCATAAATTCATGCAATCTCATGGCAGTTGGAAGCACTGCATACATAATTTTAAACATATAACACGTAACACCACATATCTTTTATACTTCCATTCATTCTTGTGAGACAAAAACCACCCAAGTTAGAACGGCCGCATCATATAATGAATGTGATGACTGATTAAGGAAATGAGATGTTATGCTCACTAACACAATTTCTTGCTATTAAACAGGTTATTGATTTGCTGTGGCAGCTACTGGTAAACTATATTTGTTCAGACATTCAGTCTCAGCTGGGACTGAACTGTTGTGGGTTGATAAAGGAAGCATTAACAACAAGAACAAAATCCAAAGTGCATTCGCATGCTTTCCTCATCAAGAGATGTGGTGTGACATGGTAGGAAGGGCAGGTTGGAATCAAAGAGACTTGGGTTCTGGAGCCCTCATCTCTAACATGGAGATAAAAATAGCAATATAGCTACGAGATTTTTGTGGGAATCAAATGAATTGTAAGAAGTCTTCTGTGCCCATTTTTTTTGTTTGTGTTCCTGTTTCATTTATAAACTACTGTGTTATTCATTGGAGTGAGAGGCCCAGGACTCCTCAGGGCCTGAAGAAATGAAAGGTGATGGGCCTGAGGGGAGCCACTTGGAGCAGCTACTCTGAGAGGCTGAGACCTGCAGTCATGCTGCATCTTTGTGTGGCTCGAAGGCAGTGTTCTCATGGACACAGATTATCTGAGACCAGGGGCCTGTCTTTCCACTTACCACAATGTCCACTGTCCCCAGATGCAGCATGCCAACAGCAAATGTGTTTAGTGGATATGTGTTTTGTAGCTAACAAGAAACAGTAACATTTATTTTTCCATGCCTAGTTGCTTAACAAATGATATTGCAAAAAAAACACCACGTTTTATGTGTGTTTACATGAAAACAAATCAAATGGACTATGGTGATAAGGAAGTCCTGGTAACAACAGACAAGTTGACCATGCATCTGACAGCGCCCCTCTGAAATGCAGACATAGCCACGTCCAGCATGACCAGCTGAAGGCACATGCAAAGAACAGGCTGGGAGGGTTGTGATGGGGTCGGGGGTGGGGCTCAAGAGTTCTTTAAAACAATCCCATCAGCCGAAGGCTTTCTCTGGACTCAACAGACGTGTGATTAAACAGTAGATTACATTCAACAACAGCAACAATCACATCATAAAACTCCATCCTTTTATCCTCAGGCTAGGTTCTCCATGTCATCCCAAAACCTTCAAATTATCTAAACGAATCCTCAAAGGGATAGTGCCCAAAATGTCTACTCTTCTCAAGCTTTTTTTTTTTTTTTTTATAGTAAAAATTTTAAATCTCTTTTCAGTTTCAGCACATCTGTCCCATCACTTAAATTTATGACGATCTGGTTCAGGACCATATGCTCCCCTCTGCACCTTTATTTAGATTAATGAACAGCTTAATCTGACATCGCTATTAGTACAAGTGTTCTCACTGTACTTTATCTTCTGGAACTAACAGATGCTAATTACTATAGAAGGTTGACTTTAGTTAATTTCAAATTATTTTCTCAAACTTTCAAGATATATCTCCTTCCTATGCTAACTAAATGAACAGGAAACTGATAAATACATCATAAAACCATTTAATATGAAATTTAATGTTTCCTTTTTAAAAATTTCAATTACTTAAAAAGTAAAAAACTCTAAAGTAAGTATCAGCATCAAATCCGCCGTGGCTTATTTACAATAACAAAATGTTCAGAAACAATTGCTCCTATAAATATTTCTAAAAATTGTCCCTATGAAACGTTTTGGTATTATCCCTAAGAATTAATGGAAAGTGGAGATAATATTATTCTCTGAATCTTAGTATCATTTAAAGCACTTAAAGTTGATATAAATGAGTCCTAGGTACAATTTCCCCTTTTGTCCTTCTAAACTACGAGAATATTTGCCAGTCTAATATTAAAAAAATTCTCAAGAGCAATTTTAAAGTGAACTCAACATATTACACCCTAAATTAGAAAAAAAGGTGTAATGTTTTCACTCTCCCTTTTGACAAAATTGTGTGAAATTTAAGAATAAGATACTAATCCAGAATTTTTTAACTAGGCAAAGTTTTCTTTTCCAAGGCAAAGATCTGTTCTTGTGTCCTCTTACAAAAAGCTCACTTTTATTGCTTTTTCTACTTCATTTTGCCTTTTAGAATTCAACAGAACATCTTGATTAGATGACTATTTAACAGATTAGGCGGCTGTTATTGAAAACACACATTGATTAAAAATATAGACTCTTCACTGGTCCACTGACCTTTTCATTATTTTCCCACTTTTTTTGTGACATCTATAAACACAATTTTTGAGGAATATTTGTGTAACGGTGTTTGTAGGAAGAATGCCGAGGATTATCCCTGGGAGACCAACAAGCAGAAAGTCACCAAAATGTCACTGTGGTCATTGATTGCAGCATCTTTCTTAGGCTGCAGTCCCACATTTCCAGCTGAGGACTGTCCTCGGGGAGCCTGCACAGCCACTCGCGAGGGACTTATGCCCTCTCTAGGAGCCAGATGTACAAGCTACTCTAACGGCCTGGCATGCAGTCTACTCCTGGATGGTTCCTGCCAGGGAACCGTGAGGTATCACGGTAACCCCACAGTCATCCTCTTGGACTTGGAATGCTGTAGTTATTGTTATACCTAATTAGGGTTTTAGCCCTTCTTACGAGGAGCATTCTACAAATTCTCGCCTCAGGCACAATACGGCAACTGAGTCGCAACAACCCAGTGCGTGCAGCAGCTCAGCGGTTGTGCCACCACATGGAGGCGCCAAGGGGCCTGCCTGCCTGTCCCCAGGAGCGTATCCAAGCAGGCAAGGCAACAAGGAGAACAAGCGGGTTGAAAACCTCATTCAAGACGTCTCAGAAGAGGGAGTCTCTGAGCAGGGCTCAAGGGGCTGGTGGTGTAACCTGGTCATGCACCTGAGGTTTGTGGGCATTCTCAAGCCGCATGTCAACAGCCCGAGCTGGGTACCTCTGTGTCCAGGAGGTGCACATTCGGAAGAGCTTCTGTTTATTACTACAGAACTCACTAGGAGCGAGGGAGATAGAGCAGTGCATTACTAAGCTTTTCACCACCAGGAGAGTGCTCAGGGTTTTTTTCTTTTTCGAAAAACAAAGCCATTTGGCTTTATTGCTTTTCAGATATAAGTATACAGACTATTTAAGCAGTAAGGACTAACTATGTAGTTTAATTGTGCTGCTTGAAATATATCCAGTGATCTTAATGATCAGGTTGAAATAATTAGATTTGAAATAGGCATTGCAAACGATGGTAGTCCACGTGTTAGCATCTGATTCATATGAAATAAGAATACAGATACTTTAGAATATACCAATCCTTGCAATAAACAGCAATGCAACATAGTATAAATAATTGAGGAACAAAATATTTCAGAACTTTAAAAAATAAATATAGGTATCAATGAAGTTGATAACATTAATTGCTTTGAAATAAAAAAATAAGTTCTTGATTTGTATGAACACCTGCAATTATAGTTAATATAGGTAACCAATTGTCAGATAGAACACATGTTCAAAAAGACAGAAGAAAAGATTGTAGGTTGCTAGTTTAAAAAAAGTTTCTCATTTTAAGTCTTATGATGTATTTTTAAAAGACTAAAGCGTTTCCCTCTATCAATAAATGTGAATAGAAGAAAAGACTATTTTGAAAAGATTGTTTTTGAAACAGGCTAACATTTTGCCAATAACGACACCAGTTGACTCTGCTGAAAAAAAAGTCTAGTCTTACCGAGTTTAGTTTAACACAGGCAGATCATTCATTGCACACAGAAGAAAGAAAATGTAAGTAATGGAAAATAAACGCAGGGGCAGCCTGGTGGCATAGCGGTTAAGTGCGTGTGCTCCACTTCAGCGGCCCAGGGTTTACAGGCTCCGATCCCGGGCGCACACCGATGCGCCACTCATCAGGCCATTCTGTGGTCCCATATAAAGTAGAGGAAGATGGGCACAGATGTTAGCCCAGGGCCAATCTTCCTTGGCAAAAAGAGGAGGATTGGCGTCGGATGTTAGCTCAGGGCTGATCTTCCTCACACACACACACAAAAAAAAAAATGCAGAAGAAATACAAGCATGCACGGCCTTTTCTATCAATGTTCTAAAGTTCTCTCCCAAGAGCCACGGGTCTCCTCAGAACCTAGTAAAGCCAACCACGTGAGCGCAGCTCTGACCAAGCACTCAGTGCACAAGACGGGGGTGTAATAGAAGAATACCATTTATGCTTTAACTTCTAAGACATGCATCTTCATAACAGTTTCATGAGTATTTGTTAGAGCAGCTTTAGATAGTCTACTAAGAAGTCTCACGGGGTTCTATTAATGACTTATAAACCATGATCAAGGTAGCTTAACTGCGGAGCAGGCATGTAGCCAGCAACTGTTGATTAGGGAGACAGCGTAAGCAGAGGCAGTGAGATTTATAGATAATCCCCAAACCTCCAATAGTGTGATCTATTCTTGTAGCAATCAAACTCCACAGGTAGGAAGAAGTAAAAGCCTCTTGTACCAGTGTGATGACTGACTCACAAAGCACTTGATGGCTAACTGACCTCCTTGTAGAGGAGGAAGGCAGGAGGACATAAACCTTCAAGGTGAGAACACTGGCCTCATCTGGCTCGATGGGTTTACAGGTACATTCTGTTCTCTGAAAGTGACAAGTTATACCAACACAGAGAAAAACTGTTCAGTTTAAAAGTTGAGTTGGAAAATTACTTAATGGGATGATTAATTAGAATAAAATCAATAAAGACATTCACCACCACATATGAGACTAGAACTGTTTCAGTGGGAAGACAGAGGGAAACAAATGAACAAGTGAATGATGCTACAGAAGCTGTACTGATGGTCTCAGTGGAGGAGGAACAGAGCAGGCTCCACTGAGACAAGCAGGAATTTGTACCTGACCTAGCCTCAAAGAGAGTTGGGGAAACATTATTTTCACTGTTGTTCACATGAGCTCTTCTTGAGACTGACGGTTTGTACTTTTAAAGAAAATTTTGGATCTGTCACAAACAATGCAAAACCATCTCAGCACTGGATGTTTTCCTTTGTGGTCTAATACATCGTACATGAATTTTGTTTAAATGTTCCCTAACCTCAGTGTGGAAAGACAAAATCTTCTCTTTAACAAGAATATTCCAGAGCAGGGAAACTGGTTAACTGAGGGTGCACAGAATGAGTGTGATGCCTCACACAGAGGAAGCCTCTGTGTGTGGCCTGGTCACTCCTGCGACCCTCTCACACAGAGGCAGCGGGTGCCAGGCACCAGAAGAGGGGTGCTGCTGCATGGAACTCATCTACACTTGAGTCACTCCCACCTCTTAACACAGTGCAAAACCATGAGGAAGGACGTAGGAGATTCCAGTTCTGAGGTGTCTGGAAAACAACAGTTGGCTGAAGCTTATCTATCCTGCTTATCTGAATCACCGCCAACAACCCAATGGCCCCAGTCAAGGGCTCTGCACTTGAGCCGTGTTAATCAGTCCACTTGAAACTGGGTCAAGCATTAGTCAATAGTGTTCTGGACTCAGATCTGCTTTCTTATAAGGGAGACTCTTCATTATAAAATGCATTTTCCTGTGGGCGTATTTTGCTTGAGTAAGGGCAATTTTGTTATTTCCTAAGATGGTACATTGCTATTGTTTTGACAGTGTCTTTGTGCAGTCTTATGCAGTATTATAAGTTTCACTGCCTATGGAACCCAACAAGGTGAAAGCTAAGATAATATTAAAATGGGAACTTCAGTTTATTTCCTTCAGACTATTGAAATATTCTTAATTTTTCATTTTTCTCTTCTTACATTCCTCCTCTTTCCCATTTTTGTTGGTGTTTTATCTCTCTCTACATAAACTACTTGAGGTCAGGGATGTTTTATTACACTAGCTCAGAATTATTTACTGAGTACACTCTCTGTCATAGCTTTACGTGGGGTGATGTGATACAGAATTGGGGGACAGAAGCCCTAAGTGCATGAAGTATGAAGCGTTAAGTAGGGCACACATGCTAAACGGTAAAACAGGACATGCTTCGAGGTGTTTTTTGCCAAATGTCCAAGGACCACAGAGAAGCAAGAAATCTCTGCCTGTGATTCTCTGAGTCAGCAATTTGGCTCACTAGTCCTGGATATATTCAAACCTACTCGTAAGTCATCTTTGCAGTCACAAGCTGCAGAGTAAATTTTAATGCTTTAGGTATATGTGAGCATCATCAAATTTTAAAAATTTGGTTAGTAGTCTTTTTGCATCTTGACGGTTGACTAGGAGTTCATTTTTGGACTGAGGAACAGCAGTTCGATGGTTACACTTTAGTCCTGCCTTTGTTTTCTGCCTCGCTAACAGGTGGAAAATCATTGTGTCAGCCCGAGGTGCCCCCACCCAGGACTGCTGTCCAGGTTAGCCACAAGCAAGCACCTCCACGTGACCTTCGGGTGTCAACAGCTCTGTTTTGGAGGATGAACCCAGAGGGGACCTTACTCTCAGGTGGCTCCAGTTCATGCCAAAGACCGTCTCTGCCCTCAGGACTGGGAGACAAGTCGCTGAGACAATTTGTAAGTAAATAGCTCCCAAGACAAGGAAAGATTTTCAAATCCATCAATGAGAATAAAAAGGCGTATAATGGCTATGATTTATTCTGTGTAGCTTTTTTCAAGTAAAGTTGTCACAACAGAAGGATGGTGGGATTTGCTATAACTCTGTATCCACCAATAAAAGAAGGATCTTTAATGCCATCCACTGCGTAGGCTAATCTGCCCCCAGGGGTGCTTGATGTGGAACATCCCACCACGTCTATGACCCATCATAAGTGAAAGCATCTATGTTTTGGTTTGTGAATCTCTGTAAGTGTTAATTAATATAATGCAGAAATGGATGCCCCAGAGTCTCATCACCCCGAATGAACTTCAGAACTCATATCAGTGCTGTATAAATAGATTATGAGAATACAAAGCGAAAAGAGCAATCCCCAGATCCACACTGGCCCTCACCCAGGGGCCACCTCTGGGCAGGAGGTGGCCTTTGTTTCCTCATCACTGAGACAGTGGCAGCGGCAGGAAAGACTGTGTCTCTTCTTCCTTTCCAGCCCCTGGGAGTCTCCTGCTGGTCTGTCTCTGCTCCTTCCCACACCATCACCTGGCTCTGTCCTCCAAGGCTTTGCTCCCAAACTCAGACCTTGGGTCCTAACTAACACAGATTAAAATGTTCTTTCTCACTTCCTTTTCCCTCTAAGTATAACTTTCTGCGATTTATCTGATCAAGATTTCCCCTCTAAGGCATGAAAGAATGACCATAAATTATTAGGTGAGGTTTCTGGGAGGGTTATCTTCTTCCTAAAGGATAGAGGTGGGAGGACTCATCTATTGAATCAGGTCACCTGAGTCCACCTCAGTGCCCCCTGAGCTGGAGAAGGGTTGCTCTCACCTCCTGTATACAGTGTTCCCTTTGCCAAAAAAAAATTTCTCACTCTAAAAGAAGGGTCCCAATGAAGAAGAGTGTATCTTATACTGCTTCCCAGGATTTGAATACTTGGAAAGACTTCTGTCTGGGAAAATGGTAGCAAGGAATAACTAAGACCGTAATTATTATTTTTCTCCCAGAGTGTCCCATGCTCTGCAGATTATAAAAAGCAGTGAGTGAGTTAGGGAAAGATACTAGTGCTCCCAAGGGGAAAATCATCAATAAAACAGCAACCTTTGCAGGCAATCTTGTGAAAGGCCACTTTTAATCATCTTGTATTTGTTGATCGGTTTTACTCATGAGACACATTTAAAACATCTGTTAGGCATCAGATTTATAAACAAACGTGTAGCAGAAGAGAAATCACAAACCTGCTTGATGTTTCCCCTTGTTCTTTCCTTCAGGTGCGTGCAGACAGAAGAGAAATGATGATAAACTGGTGAATACATTTATCGCACTTCGTAATGGCCAAGTTGCAGATTGGGGAACCAAGCACCTTAAGTAGTTCTTTTCAAGTAAGATCCATAGAAGCATTATTCTTTATAATAAATGTACCCAACTTTTTAACATATATTCTTTGTGACACAGACCTGAGATAGCACAAAACTTACTTAGCAAAACCAATTCTGCCCACATGTAACCAAAAACTATAGACTCTTCACTCGCCAAAGTTATCTATGGTTAAGAAAACGTGGTTCTGATCTAACCAGCGTTAGCAAAGACTCCGGGAATGGCGCTGGTTACCCTGCAGCTACAGTCCCTGTGTTTTAGGCAGACTTTTGGGTTCCTTAACCTGGATTCATTGATGTGTGGCCATGGCTTTGTACTTCAATCACTTGCTGAGGCAGATTTTGTTTTCATGTCGTGTAAAGTCTGAATTCTCTTGGAGTAAATTAGGCACATAGAAAATCTGTCAGAACTATGCTAGCCTGGTGTTGGGTTGTGTTCTTAACAACCCATTTTAGAAAATTCAGGTCTACGCAACATGGTGTGGGGTCTCTGCCCTTTGCAAATGAGCTGTATGTCCCCGGGCAGGCACCTCACTATCTTGTGGGCCTTGGTTTTCTTATGAATAAATTGAAGGCAATGGATTGGATAATCTCTAAATTCTGACTTCTTAAGGTACCACGTAGCATCCTTGGAGCTTGACAATTCCCCACAGCTTCATAAAATATCTGACTCGTTCCCTAAAATAGCACGTTTACCTGTGTTTCACCCTTTGCATAGATTTCACTCCCTTTGAGAAGACAACCAAAAAACATATGTTACCTCTATAAATCCTTCAGTTATTAAAACAAAATTTTGAAACAGCAACTGCCAAGACCTCTAAAGTGTATGGAAGAGACAAATCAGTGCAGGAAGGAGAGAGTAAGAAGGTGGGTACACCCCTGCAGGTTTGGGGGAGTGAGGCATGCCCCTCACCTGCCCCTCCTCACAGTGGTCACATTCCCTTCCATCCAACTCCCTGAGAGGAGGTTGTTTCTAAAACTGTGGCAAACAAAAGTGCGGGCTGGTGTTTTTTAACGAGAACAGTAACACTGATGATGGTGGTGGTGACAATGCTGTGGATAATGTAGTCTCCCGCTGACCACCTATTCAAAGTTGCATCCCCTAATGCTTCCAAATTCCTTCCCCGTTTATTTTCTCTGTAACACTTGTCACCATCTAGTCTATTGTATATTTTACTCATTTATCTTTATTGTCTCTTCCCAGCACCCCTTGACCATATACTCCCTCAGGCCTGACATTCTAATCTGTTGGTTTTCCTCGCTCCATTGCTGCATTCCTAGCATCTGGAACAGTGTCTTGCACATAACATGTGCTCAGTGAATGCTTGTTGAATGAATGCATGAATGAATGAATTATCTTTCCCTTCAGAGGCTCTTAAACTCTGAATGGTATAGGGAAATACACTGTGTAAACAAGAAGAAGTTTCGGTCTATTTCTTACTATGTCACTCTGCATTCAGTAAGCCAGTGAGTTATAAATGTAAAAATATCCCTCTAAGTCATTGTAAATTATTCTCCTTATAAACCCACACACTTGACTAAAGCAGAGGTTCTGAACTGGCTTCAGGGATTGGTGAATACATTAAAATTGTAGGCAAAGTTTTGATATTTTATCCATTGAATATTTTTCTTGGGAAAGAGTCCTTAATTACCATCATGTTCTCAATGGTTTAACAGAGAAAAATAACAACAACAATAACAAAGATTCAGAACCACTGCAATCTGGAACAGTGCAGTATGACTGGAGGGAGAGATATTAGGACATCCAGGTTCCCATGAACTTTTCCAGTGACTGCTGTGTCATTCTGGACAAATACCTGTTATACAGCAAATGACGCTGAGACTCAGAGGTTAAGGAGGGGTGCAAGGGGTGGAGAGTGAAGGGGACGGTTGATAGCCACCATGGAACAGGATGAATGCAGGTGTTTGCATGACTTCTCCTGCACCACCACCCTCACTTAAAACAGGGAAAATATCAGGGGAAAAGAGAGAGATTACGTGAGTAAAATAATAGTTCATGCTCTAGGAGAATTTGACTCATTATTAAAGAGTTTCTCCAGGCTTCAGAATGACTTTTAATCCCCAAATCGCAGCAAGTGGGAAGCAAAAGAATTACGTATGAGAACACACCACTCTCTTCTGTCACTTGGTTTTCCTACTGGCTTTTCTCTTACACATTTACCCAGCAACCTTCATGAAGACGAGAAATACAGTTTCGATGTGATTACTATTTTTGATTCATACCCCCAAGGAATAGATGGCACCAGAGTTATATTCCTTTTTTGTTTTTTAATACTACAACTTTGAAAGAGACTAGTACTCAATGAAGGGGATTTAACTAAATTTTAAGATCTAAGTGAAGAGAGGGTTGTTATCACACGTCCCCTTGACTGCATCCATGCTCTATCCTTGCTCAGGCTCCATCCCCTCTAAAATCCCGAGGATCTATGTATGTCTCTGTCAGAGGTGCTGACAAAGCCTTGACCCCAACTTCTAGGAAATACGTCCCATGAGAGCTTAGAAGTTTCTTGCCAGCTCTTGTCCTTAACCTTGTGGATGGGAAAACTGAGGCCCAGGGCAGGACAAGGAGAAATGCAACAGATCCCCTCAGTTAATGATGGATCTGCTGCTTCCCAATAGTGTGTGTTTTGCTGCATCACAAACCTCCTTTAAGACTACAATTCCAGGGAACAACCCATGAAGGTTTCCCCAGATGATTTCTCTTCCATATCAGTGAGAAAGAGGTTTCTCTGATGAGTCAGAGTAGTTAGGTGCCTTGACTCCCATGAAGTCACTAGGATTAAGGTTCTGTTGGGTTATGAAGGGAAACAGCAAGTACTCTAGAACCCAAGTCAGATAAGCCATTTGATAACTTCTGAACAGCCTCAGGAACTGACCGTGTGGCCAAGCTGAGTGACCCACAGAGGGCTTTCCTTGATTACTTGCTTTGGTTGTTTCATTGAGGATTTCTTTAATTAGATGGTGATTATAATTTAATATGTGCTCTGATAGTTGAACTAGAACCCATGATTCCAGGACTAAGGGGTTTTTTTTGAAAATTAAAGTTCCTTGTGGTCGTCATCAGGACTGCTCATATTTTTTCTGGCTCTCCTCTCCTTCCAGGAACATGCTAGGATTGCACTTCGCCATCCTCTTGATTCTAGGCACGGCCAGGTGATTTGCTTTGGCCAATGAAATGTGAACAAGAGTAAGATTACTTTTACATTTTGAGTGCTAACTGCACATTTACCTGGTTGGCCCCAGAGCCTCACTGTGAACTGTGGTCCCGTTAGGACTCCAGCTCTTCTCTTGCTGGGCTACTGGTGTTAGTGTGATCAAGGGGAAGCTCAAGGCCCACCCTATGTGGGGATCCAGATGAAGAAGGACATAACGGACTTCAATAGATTCATCTAATGGCAATTTATCTGAGACATATTGCTCTCAAAGCACTCCCCACTTGGTGTCAGTGATGGATGGAGTTTAAACGATCATTGTTTTCCAGGAACCATGGTGCTTACCTTTAGAATTCTGGTGGGCTTTATGAAATGAGATATTAGAAAATAGGCATGAAGTAGTAGAAATAAATCTCTATAAAAGTTTAGACTCCCATAATCTGTAAGCCCAGGCTCTGGATGGTGAGGAATGACACTGGGTCCATTTAGTTTTGTGCCTGAGTTGCTGCTGAGCAGGTTTGACTCTTTCAAAGAGCAGCAGGGAATAAGACAAGCCAAAAATAGACACTTTTGTGTATGGTTTGTTTTACACACTTGAGGAGACTTGACGGCAGCGCCAGCTGTCATACAGATACCTACTTGGTGGGGCTGCAGGTGTGCAAGGCCTTCAAATGCGGCTTCCAGGTGGCAATGGAGACAGATTTCTCATCAGCTGCATAACTACGCCAAACACACTGCATGTAGGGACATAAAAAAGAAAAGTGAAAGAGAGAGGGAGATAGAATGAAATGAAAGGGAGATTATTAAATTAATGCATCACATCAGCAGAATTGCTTTTCATGGCAACCCACACCAAAGAACAAAAGTACCAAAAAGTATAGCATAAAGCAATTTTTGAATTGGTTAGGGAAAGGTATGGCATCATCTGTGGTGAACTATTTGAGCATGAACATGTGTTCCAGGAGCCAACTGCACATCTTGAATCACTATTTGATAAGATAGAGGCAAAGGACTACTGAAAATCCATAATGCACCTAGTAAATTAACCAGTAAACTAACTAGTTAACTAATGCCCACAGGGTATGTTAATGATTTAGTGAAATTCCCTGAAGCTGAACTACGCAATTCTTCTAATCTAAAAATGAAGATATTGATAACAAAAGCAGGGCTAAAACAAGACTGGGGAAAATGTACTCTCCAGGAATATAATTGGAAAGAATTTAAGGATTCAATGTCATGGTCTAAGAATATGTTTTTAGCTCTTTGACGTAAAACACAAGCTCTGTCTACTTCATATAATTATACCTGACATGTATAATACAAAGTATTTTCACGTAATCCTCACAATCAGAATGTGGATTAAGACCCCTGTTTTCAGATGAGAAAATGAAGGTTCAGATAAAGCAAGCGGTTTACGCAGGGTTGGTAAAGTGGAGACATTATCTCGGGTTGCTGGAACTGGTCTTGGAGCCCCCACTGCCCTCTGCTGGCTGCTTGTTCACTTTGCTGGAAAGGCTTCCCTCTGAACTGTGTACTTGCGAGATCGCCTGAACTTACTTCCCGTATAGATTTTGGTGAATTTCACCCTTTGTATTAAGTCTGCAAACATCTCTAATGATCAAGTGTCTACTCCAATCTCCTGAGACAAAAAATTTTAATATAATTCATAAATCAAAGCATTCTACTTTATGTGGCAAATTCATTTAAATGGGTCATATCCCTAATATATAACCATCATTCACGATTTTGAAACCTACAGTGAAAAAAACAGTGATCTAATAATATTTCTTTTCCTGAGAATATTATTGAACCCATGTGCTGAACAAAAAGAGTTAAAAATTGACACAACTACTTTGGGAAACTGTAAGGCAGTATCTAATAAAGCCAAACATATACACACCCTATAATATAGCTACATGCTCCTACATATATACTCAACAGATATGCTTACACATTCATCAAATGATTTGTACTAGTGCTCAAAACAGCACTATTCTTTGTTTGTTAAGGATACTTTTTTTTTTCTCCCCAAAGCCCCAGTGCATGGTTTTATATCCTAGTTGTAAGTCCTTCTAGTTCTTCTATGTGAGCCGCCGCCACAGCACGACAACTGACAGATGGGTGGTGTGGTTCCATGATCGGGAGGTGAACCCGGGTCGCCAAAGCAGTGAAAGCGCTGAACTTTAACCACTAGGCCATGAGGGCTGGCTCAAAACAGCACTATTCTTAATAAACCGAAGCTGGAAATGCTCAAGCACCCACCAACAGTAGAATAAATGGTAAGTTGTGGATAGGTACACAGCAATAGTACACTCTAACCACGCTCAACAGTACAGATGCATTTTACATGAAAACATTGAATGAGAGAAACAAGACACAAAAGAGTATATCCTGTGTGATTCCATTTCCACAAAGTACAAAAAAACAGGGAAAAACTAATTTTTGGAAGGCAGCACAGTGGTTGCCCTTGAGGACAGTGATTGTGGAGGAGGTCCTGGCCAGGTTCTGCTCCTTCATCTGGGTGCTGGTGACACGAGGGTGCTCCGCTCCCTCAGGATGTGTGCTCCACTCTGTATGCACATGGTACTTCAATAAGATGTTCAAGAAGTGATATAAAAAAACTAGAAAAATATGTAGTAGGACCTGAGAGGTCTTTATATTATTAAAGAAGGTTTAAATAATTGAAGCAGGGTTCCTTGCCTGAAGACTTGCTCACATGGCTCATGTTGATTTATCCTGCAAATCGGTGAAAACTTATACTAAGCATCTTGGCATCTTATAGAGAATAAAGCAACTATCATTGTATCATCTTGAAACATTAGTTTTAGCAAATATCGTACAAACACGATTTACAGAGTGATCTAGAGTAATCAATGACAACGCGTGGATTTATTAATGCAGCCTCTTCTATAGCGAGGCCAGAGAACTTCCAACGCTGTGACAGCATAGATGTCTGCTTTGGTTCAGCAATTTTCATAGAAGGCATCATATATATGTGAACTCAGATACTTTGAAAGCAAGACTCATGTAGAACTAGAAGCACACAGCAGCTCTGTGCACTATTAGAAATGAAATCAGTGAAAAAAACCCCAAACAATAATAAAACTAAACATGAGACCAAGGCATTACTTGCCAATGTAACAAAGAATTGGGGCCAAAAGAGGCCACTCTTAGAAAACTGAAGATTTGCTTAACAATGAAACCTGGCTTCTGGCTCTTTTTCTATCAAATTTATCTCAACAGCTAAGCTCTTATTCTCTTCATTACACTTCTCCTGAAAATGTCTTGTAAATGGGAGACACAGAAGGAGCAGGTGGCATCTATCTCAGGGCTGATATTAGCTCACAGTCAAAATGGAAGTGGAAAGGGTAACTCTCTTACTTTTCTGTCTAATAATTTTGTCCTGTCCTGAGCTCGCTCGCCCTCAGCTAATTGCTTCTAATAGCTGAACCTCAAGGCCACAACTATATGATCAAGTAGCTGATATTCCAATATTTCAAGCCAAAATCACATAGTGGTTGGCAAGAGAAAAACAATGCCCCGAGGGGCTGAAGTTACATGGCACATATATACTCCAAACAATATGCCCACAAGAAGCAAGATGAAAGCCACATTAGCATTTGTCAGGTGACACTGGTGCTCCAGGCAGCCAAGCAAATTCAAACTTTGGTCCATAATTATGATTGCGATGTCAGCATAGTCAAGTTTTTAGGGTGTGTTTGGTTTGTATTGTCTGGAGAATTACAGCTATGGCACATCTGACTCTTTCTGGAAATTTTAACTTCAGCTGACCATCCAAAGGTGTAATTAACATGGAAGTGATTTTTTTCAAGAAGTCAGAGAACTAAAAGATTTAAGATGAAAACCAGCAATCTGTCCCGACCTTGCTTCTAATTCTATCCTTACAGTTGTTGCTTCTATTTTTAAGAATCCTTATTTTTAAGGATTGTTCTCATATTTCTTGATTTTTCAATTTTAGGCATTATCAATTAACTTCCTACCACGAAAGATGACATAGTCTACTTACACCTTCTGCTTCTCTCATCCTTCCAACAATTTTTAGTTAAGTTTAGTTAAGTTTTTAGTTTAGTCTGGTTAGTTAACACTATTTAGTGTTTGCATTATTTTGACCATGTAATTATTATTCCTAGTTCAGCAATATGATGTCCCTGATTACTTTTTCTTTCCTTTATATATTTCTTTTGTTTTTCCTTGAGTTATTATTGCCTATTTTAGTTTCTTGATTTGCCTTTATATACCTATTAGGAATACATTCCCAAACTCAACAACAGAATAAAATTTCACTAGTCAAATACATCATGAAATCTGTCCGTTCTGTCTTGCATTTCCTTGAAGATCCTCCTCCTGGGACCTCCGGCCGCCTGCTCTGTGCTGCTGCAGCTATGGTCCTGGGGTTTCCCTTCACTCTCAGCCGAGAGATTCCCCTTCTCTTTCCTCAAGAGATCCTACAGGATCTCTTGTTTCCTGGATCCCGTGTCCCCTCTTTCTTGGTTTATCTCCTTGTTTTGGAAGAGAAGTTCTATCTAAATAGCTTCTTTTTGAAAAGTTTCTGCTTTATTGAGGTATTATTGACTTACAAAATTGTAAGATATTTGAATTGTACATCGTGGTGATTTGATATATGTGTACATTGTGAAAGGACTCCCTTCATTTAGGGAATTAACACATCCATCATCTCACATATTTATCTGGTGGTTTTTTTTTTTTTTTTTTTTTTGGTGAGAACATTCAAGTTCTATTCTCTTAGCAAACTTCAATTACTAAAAATTACAACGTACTCAACTATAGCCACCACGTTTCACATCAGACCATCAGACCTTGTTCATCTTTAGCTGAACGTTTGTGCCCTTTTACCCTATTTCCGCACCCTCTACCACCCTCTAGGCCCTGGCAACCACTTTTTACTTTCTGTTTCTAAGAGTTTGACTTTTTCTTTTTAATTTAGTTTCTATATATAATGAGTACTATGCAGTATTTGTCTTTCTCTGTAGGGCTAGTCACTTAGCATAATAATAAGATCTACCCATGTTGTCATGAATGGCAAAATCCCTTCTTTTTCAAGGTTGAATACTATTCCACCATACAGACATACCTCATTTTATTGCTCTTCATTTTACTGTGCTTCACAGATATTGTGTTTTTTACAAATTGAAGGCTGTGTCAATCCTGAGTCGAGCAAGCCCATCAGTGCCATTTTTCCAACAACATTTGCTCCCTTCATGTCTCTGTGTCACATTTTGGTAATTCTTGCAACATTTCAAACTTTTTCACTATCATTATATTTGTCATGGTGATCTGTGATCAGTGATATTTGATGTTACTATTGTAATTGTTTTGGGGTGCCACAAACCACGGCCATATAAAAGACGGCGAACTTAATCGACAAATGTGTGTGTTATGGCTGCCCCACTGTCAGCCGTTACCCCATTTCTCTCTCCTCTCAGGCCTCCCAATTCCCTGAGGCACAATAATATTGAAGTTAGGCCAATTAATAACCCTATGATGCTCTCTAACTGTTAAAGTGAAAGAAAGAGTTGCATGTCTCTGACTTTAAATCAAAAGCTAGAAATGATTAAGCTTAGTGAGGAAGGCATATCAAAAGCTGGGATAGACCAAAAGCTAGGTCTCTTATACCAAACAGCCAAATTGTGAATGCAAAGGAGAAGTTCTTGAAGGAAATTAAAAGTGCTACTCCAGCGAACACACAAATGAT